CCTGAGCATGATTATCACATCTGCACGGCACGAAACCTCCTGGCGCTCGCTCCACACGCGTCGGCGCTAAAATACCTCAAACCATCGGCGCCAAGAGGTTTCGGGCCAAGCGGATGTAATGTAATGTAATTACTCAGGAGATCAAAACAACATTTGGCTCAAGTCTGTCGACGGATGAAGAAGTTGGTTAGTCGGCACCATTTATCCTATCCTTGACTGCCTCAATCTTTGGGAATCAAGTCAGTGTTCGCAGACTTTCTTTTTCGATGGCAGTCCTTCTTTTTCAATGGCAGTCCTCCTGAACACGAATATCACATCTGCTTGGCCCAAAGCCTCTTGGTGCCCGTGCCACAGAAGCCAGCTCCAAAACGCTACCTCATGGTACGAGTTTTTAGTCAGGTCTGTCCTCGGAGAAAGAAGCCGGTCAAAAACTCGCCTGATTTTGGAAAATCGGGGCAGTAGGTGAATTGTGCCAATAAATTATGAAAACATGAGTTATCTTTCATCGTCGTTTGCACTGAAGAAGACTTTCTGTAAATGCAAAGAGGAGAGCTAAGTAATCCTATAGTACTTCCAAGACTTGTGATGACTTATGAAAAACGCGTGTACTTTTTTATAGTCTAGCGCTGAGATTACCAGTGCCATGCGGCTAGTTTTGAAGATGGGGCACGCTGAATGGAATGAATGGATGTACTCCTCGTTTCTCGGTGACCACGGCTTGACGTTTTGATGGTGTTTTCATTTGTAATATCCTACCACTTGAAGCAGTACCTTGGTGTAGGGCTTATTTGTTGATATTTGAGTCCGTTCCCTGTCCAGCAGAGGAGGAGGGCGTGGCTGCGTGCCTCATTTGAGCATGGTGTAGAATACCTTCTATGTGAAATATCCCCATTTCAGACGAAAGTCATCCTGTTTTGAGCTGAACAAATACTCGATTACAACGTCCTAAAGCCGCAATATTCCCGCACAACCTAGCCGTCACCACGTTTAGTTGAAATACACAACCATGCCCTTTCCCCTCCAATATCTGGGATACAGGGCGCATGCCCATGTGTGTAATAAATAGACTCATAACAAAGAATGGGTGCCGGCAAGACTGGGATTCCATCAGAGCCCCATCAATCAGTTGCGATGGTTCGGTTATGATAGCACCCTACTTCTGCCGAGTAAAACCTCTAATGGGTGGCAACGAATTCGTCAAAGTGATTCATCTGTTTGGATTCTTTGAACAAATCCACTTACGAGTAGCGTTTCTATCCTGATTGGTAGTTTTTGCTGATCATCTTCTTACTGAATTCCTGACGAACATGGTCTTCGCTTCAGAAATTCCGGAATTCACAGGCTGAGCTCATACTACTTTGCCTCTTTTCATTCATGCTGTGACATGCACTGCAGTCACACATTTTTCTCATGTGAGTCTGTGAGACGAACCACTCTGAAAATGATTGTAGCGAAGATTGAGGGAGCACATCGGGCTTTCCTCAGACTTTTAAGCAAGCCGATCATGTAGCACATTGCGCACGTCATGACATACATGCGCAGTCACACATTTTTCTCTTTGCAGCGTTTTGGTTTTTCAACATGACACTTTTTCATGTTCCGAAGTGGTGGGAGAGCGCATATTCCACAAGAATTTGAAAAGAAGAGGTCCAAGAGTTGAGCAATATCCCCAGAATAGCGGCCCGCAATGTGCTAAGCGATAGGAACTCCTCCCTTTCAATTCGCAGATTTAATTTTATAGTTCATATATTTATATTTGTATATGTACTGTTCGTCGATGTCTACTTCGTTCCGCTGGTGCTCGTGACTTTTCTCACTTTTCTTTCTCACGCTTATTTGCCATTGAATCTTTATCCTACATCCTCTTTTATGTGCTGCTTTTCAGATGGACCTGGCACCGAAGGTGAAGCTGATTGCCGGTATTTTTGTCAGCATGTCCATCATCTCCACCGTACTCGCGTGTGCGCTCTGGAACTTCCCTGCTCAATCAACTACGAACAATACCTTGTACTTCTGTGAGTTTCGAAAGTTACTAGTTGAACTTTACGCCGTTTTTCTTTTTTCGAAGTCGCTTCTAAAGTGTGTTATCTGTCGCGGTGCAGGAGAACCAGCGAGATTTGTTCCCCGCCTTTTACCTGCGTGTAGCCACCTGCGCTGGGGGAGGCGCTCCGCCCTGCACGACCATTCCACCTAGCTCATTATTCATTGGGTTGACTTATAGGCAAATGGCACGATAGATCGAGAAGGCACGTGAGGTAAGTAGCAGGAAAGCGCCTACTCTCTGGGTAGGCGCTGTGGGCCTTTGCTAAAAAGGGTGCCGTTATAGCGCTTTACAATGGTGCAGCATGCCGATGTGGATGCCCACCGCAACCGCACGACTAGAACTGGCCGCACACCCTGTCACAGCACGAGGGGCATGAGAGAAGACAACAGTGGGGAGGGGAGGCGGAGGTGGCGAGCGACGCTGCTGTCGGTTGATGAGTTGTCCTAGCTGCCTGTTTGAATATTACTGTCAAGCGGATGGGAGTTCGGGATCGCCGTCATGGAGTCATGTTTTGCTTGAATTCTATGAGTTTTCGCTTCTCTAATCGAGAAGTTCGTGCACATCAAGCGTTTGATGTGCGTGGCCGCACGATGTGCCGCGCGCGGCTCCAATTGCGAGTGTCTTGTGCGTACCCCTGACACGAGGGCGAGGCGCTGTCAGCCGCTCGTGCGTGCGTGTAGTGTAGAACGTGGTTACTCACGGCAAAACTAGAGGAATCGGTACACAACAGGAAATCAGTCGTATTTTTGATCATCAGGGATCTACAAGAAGCAAAAAAGGCAAAAACGAAAAAATGTCGATGATGCACAGTTACGTGGCAGGGAAAGCGGTCTTGTCGAGCAAACAGAACTATTAGCTTTTTGCCAGAGGCAATTTGGTCTAGACTACCACCCGTCTCGATCATTTACTCGTCCGATGTCAAAGTGAATCGGGGGAGTGAGGCTCAATTTTATGGGTTCCTCATCGTTTCGCCCAGTTTTTTTCACCTTTACCGCGCCACTGAGCACGCTGGCTTTCATTATCGAGTGTCAAGCAAATTATCGTGCCAATGACTTCAATCGCTCATGCCTAATGAAAGGACGGAAGGACCATCCATCCCATTCCAAAAAAATTTCGGGTGTGTTCACCCATGCCAAATGGATCCAGAACGTGTCCAAAGTCTCGTTATTGACTTCAGTTTGTCTGCCGGACAGACAGTTGAGCGACACAGTAGAACAGTGTGGTGTCATCCGCTTCAGGAAAAGACGAGGGTCATTCCCGAGAGTTGGCGCGAGTTAGATCCCAGTGCGCGAGCTGAGCTGGAGTGCGCGCCACTGTCCTTGTGACCGCGTTGATTACTTCGCGACAAGAAACTCACCTCGCCACGATTTTATAAGGGTGAGCCATGTGGATCACTAACGCCAGGCGTCACCATCAACCTTGCATCTGTTACTGTTTCGGTCCACAACAACATTCAATTGCATGACTGTTTGCTGAACTTCAAGCGATTTATTTCAGGTGGCCTACTGATAGGTTTCGTATTGAATTCCGGTATTGCCTACTGCCTTCTCATTGGAACTGTCCAGCGGAACTCTCGAATGTTCTTCCCATATATCGTATGCGCATCGATCCATTGTGCAATCAGGTGAGTTCCGACGATACTACTAAACATCGGCAGTCTTTTTTGTTCGCTGGGCAGACGATTGGGCATGTCAAGAGGGATAACTACGGAAGCGCCCAACGCCGTTATTCGTTACAATTCGGCTCGCTGGCTGACTGGCCGGCGCGCCGTCCTTCCGTGATACGCGCGCGCCGGCTTCCGCGTCGAGCAAGCGCGCTTTCGCCGCGCTTACCTCCTACTACACTGGATACTCAATAATTATCGGCTTTAATTTCACCTGTACAAATAGTCAGCGCTCCTTGAGCAATAACATCATACCTACTATTTTCGACACTATTATCGTTCTATGAAGTGTGGTGAACAGCGCATTGATCAATCGCAGAGTGAAGAAGAAACCGGGTAGCTAGTTGAGATTCAAACATACTCGAAGCAGTGTGGGAGCGGCGAGTAAGCCCAAAAAAAAAAAACAAACCCGAAAGCCTGGCCCTATTGGAAAAGGAGTCGCGGCGAGCTGCTCAGCCTCGAGCGGAACCGGCTGGTATCAATGTCGTGTGACAACAGTTGCTTCAGAGTGTGGCGCATATGCTAACGAAACACACAAAGTAGGAACCTGTGGCTTGAGAACAACACTCCACGCCACTGTGTGGTCGGTCGCCTGCATCAACCACAAGACACCTGACTGATTTTCGCCATATGTTTCTCTTCACCAAAAGTTTTTCCTGATCTCCAAGCTCACTCAGATGCGAACCACGAATTTTTTTAGCAAGAGCCTGCCCATCTCAAAAGCAGCCCGCCCATTTTTGAGATGTCTCCTCCACCACTTCGTCCGCTGACCCCTTGTGGACCTCAATCCACCTGTCCCCGGTGCCTATGCTGCTCTGCAACTAATTCGTGAATTTTTGACCTTCGCCCGCCCACAACATCGACACAGCTCCGCACAGAATGGGCGCGTAAATCTCGCTTCAATAGCGGAGCTCCTGCACATTTTTGCTCGTCTTTGCCGGTGCCTGGAGTCTGTTATGGAACCATTCTATATTTCTGCGTTTGGCTCCGCCGCCTAGCCGCACGCTCCGCCTACAACGGCTGTGTGCCGCATCAAACGGTGATCCCTCCTGACCATCCACTTCCGTGTTTTACAGAACTTTTGTCTGTCTCCGCCCACCTCGGGCTGGCACCGCCCACAACATGTGTGCCCCACATTTCTTACCGGCGACCCTTTGCTGACCTTAATCCACTTTTTTCCCGCCTCTTGAGTGCTCTGGAACCGTTTTACAGAACTTTTGTCTGTTTGTGCCCACCTCGGACTGGCACTGCCCATAACATGGTCCACTTTTCTTACCGGCGACGCTTTGCTGACCTTGATCTACTTTTTTCCCGTCTCTAGAGTGCTCTGGAACCGTTTTACAGACCTTTTGTCTGTCTCCGCCCACCTCGGACTGGCACCGCCCACAACATGTGTACCCCACATTTCTCAATCGGCGACCCTTTGCTGACCTTAATCCACTTTTTTCCGGTCCCTGGAGTGCTCTGGAACCAAGCTACAAATTTTTTGAATGTGCACCCTATGAATGAGAGCAAGCTCCGCCCACTGTGGGCGGGTCTCAACACACCTCAGGCATGCCGAACTCTCCCCAGGTGTTGCCCTCCTACACCGACTTTGCACTTTCTAAACTCTCTCGGGAACCGAGTTAATGAATTTCTCGGGAAGCACCGCCTATCTCAAGCCCCACCCATTTTGGGTACTCCCCTAATTGGTTCAACAACCCCTTGCTAACCTTATTCCACTTTTTCCCATCTCTGGGCTGCTTTAGAAGCGAGTTATGAGTTTTTTTCTGCGGCTTTGGGAAAAATCCAGCATGTCTGTGGTGTGCAGGGACCGCTCACTGTGGGTGGAGCGTGTACTCAAGCACGGGTTCCCACTTTTGCGTTTTCGTGCAAAGGCCGGCCACACTCTTGAACACCTGTTGTCACACCTACATTCGATACTAGCGTTCGCTGCTGACGCCAGCGCGACTCCTTTTTAATAGGGCCATGCTTTGTCCGTTTTGCTTACTTCGCCGCCCCCACCTGCTTGCGTATGTTTGAATGCTCAACTAATACCCGGCTTTCTCTCTCATCTGCGCATTTGATCAATGCTGTTCACCACCATTCATAGACGATAATAGTGTCGAAAATAGTAGGTATGATGTTATTGCTCAAGGAGCGCTGACTATTTGTACAGGTGAAATTAAAGCCGATAATTATTGAGTATCCAGTGTAGTAGGAGGTAAGCGCGGCGAAGCCGCGCTCGCTGAGCGAAGCCGGGCCGTATCACGGAAGGAGGCGCGCCGGCGTCAGCCGGCGAGCCGACTGGTAACGAATAACGGGTGAGGCCGCTCCTAGTTATTTCCTCTTGACATGCCCCATCGTCTGCAGCGAACAAGACTGCATTAGTAGTATCGTCGGAACTCACCTGATTGCACAATGGATCGATGCGCATACGATATATGGGAAGAACATTCGAGAGTTCCGCTGGACAGTTCCAATGAGAAGGCAGTAGGCAATACCGGAATTCAATACGAAACCTATCAGTAGGCCACCTGAAATGAATCGCTTGAAGTTCAGCAAACAGTCATGCAATTGAATGTTGTTGTGGACCGAAACAAGTAAAACAGATCAAGGAGATGACGTGCGTAATGTGAGCACCCGTGCCACTTATAAATCGTGGCGTAAGTTCTTGTCGCGAAGTATCAACGCGGTCATAAGGGACAGTGGCGCCGCGCAGCAGTCGCGCACTGGGTCTAACTCCGCAACTCTGGGAATGACCCTCGTCTTCCTGAAGCGGAGACACCACCACTGTTCATACTGTGTCGCTCAACCTGTCTGTCGGCAGACAAACTGAAGTCAATAACGAGACTTTGGACACGTTCTGGATGTTGTCCTTTACGTTGCACCTTTCTCCATTTGGCAGGGTGAACACACCCGAAATTTTTTTGGAATGGGATGGATGGTCCTTCCGTCCTTTCGTTAGGCATGAGTGATTGAAGTCACTGGCACGATAATTTGCTTGACACTCGATAATGAAAGCCAGCGTGCTCAGTGGCGCGGTAAAGGTGAAAAAAAAAGGGCGAAACGATGAGGAACCCATAAAATTGAGCCTCACTCCCCCGATTCACTTTGACATCGGACGAGTAAATGATCGAGACGGGTGGTAGTCTAGACCAAATTGCCTCTGGCAAAAAGCTAATAGTTCTGTTTGCTCGACAAGACCGCTTTCCCTGCCACGTAACTGTGCATCATCGACATTTTTTCGTTTTTGCCTTTTTTGCTTCTTGTAGATCCCTGATGATCAAAAATACGACTGATTTCCTGTTGTGTACCGATTCCTCTAGTTTTGCCGTGAGTAACCACGTTCTACACTAACACGCACGCACGAGCGGCTGACAGCGACTCGCCTCGTGTCAGGGTAGCACAAGACACTCGCAATTGGAGCCGCGCGCGGCATATCGTGCGGCCACGCACATCAAACGCTTGATGTGCACGAACTTGTCGATTAGAGAAGCAAAACTCATAGAATTCAAGCAAAACATATTCTCACATAAAACGGTCGATCCGAACTCGCATCCACAGTTGACAGTAATATCCAACAGGCACCTAAGGACAACCTCATACACGCGACCAGCAAGCGGTCGCCTCGCCCCCTCCGCCTCCTCTCACTTTGTCTTCTCTCATGCCCCTCGTGCTGTGAGAGGGTGTGCGGCCAGTTCTAGTCGTGCGGTTGCGGTGGGCATCCACATTGGCATGCTGCACCATTGTAAAGCGCTATAACGGCACCCTTTTTAGCAAAGGCCCACAGCGCCTACCCAGAGAGTAGGCGCTTTCCTGCTACATACCTCACGTGCCTTCTCGATCTATCGTGCCATTTGCCTATAAGTCAACCCAATGAATAATGAGCTAGGTGGAATGGTCGTGCAGGGCAGAGCGCCTCCCCCAGCGCAGGTGGCTACACGCAGGTAAAAGGCGGGGAAAAAATCTCGCTGGTTCTCCTGCACCGCGACAGATAACGCACTTTAGAAGCGACTTCAAAAAAAGAAAAACGGCGTAAAGTTCAACTAGTAACTTTCGAAACTCACAGAAGTACAAGGTATTGTTCGTAGTTGATTGAGCAGGGAAGTTCCAGAGCGCACACGCGAGCACGGTGGAGATGATGGACATGCTGACAAAAATACCGGCAATCAGCTTCACCTTCGGTGCCAGGTCCATCTGAAAAGCAGCACATAAAAGAGGATGTAGGATAAAGATTCAATGGCAAATAAGCGTGAGAAAGAAAAGTGAGAAAAGTCACGAGCACCAGCGGAACGAAGTAGACATCGACGAACAGTACATATACAAAGTTACAAAAATTATGATTTACTATAATATTAATGGATTGAAAGGCAGGACAGTTCTTATCGCTTAACGACACATTGAGAGGCCGCTATTTCTCGCGGATATTTGCTCAACTTTTGGTCCTCTTCTTTTCAAATTCTTGTGGAATATGCGCTCTCCCACCACTTCGGAACATGAAAAAAGTGTCATGTTGAAAAACCAAAACGCTGCAAAAGAAAAATGTGTGACTGCGCATGTATGTCATGAAGTGCGCAATGTGCTACATGATCGGCTTGCTTAAAAGTCTGAGGAAAGCCCGATGTGCTCCTCAATCTTCGCTACAATCATTTTCAGAGTGGTTGGTCTTCAAAGATCACATTGAGGGAAAAAATATATCAGTGTGACTGCAGTGCATGTCACAGCATGAATGAAAAGAGGCAAAGTAGTATGAGCTCAGCCTGCGAATTCCGGAATTTCTGAAGCGAAGACCATGTTCGTCGATAGGAATTCAGTAAGAGATGATCAGCAAAAGTAAAACTCCAAACTGATAGAAACGCTACTCGTAAGTGGATTTGTTCAAAGAATCCAAACAGATGAATCAGTTTGACGAATTCGTTGCCACCCATTAGAGGTTTTACTCGGCAGAAGTAGAGGGTGCTAGCACAACCGAACTACCATCAG